GCAACCCCACCCTCTTCATCCACTATAACAATAATTGTTCGCATCATGCACCTGGTCTCCCCTCCCACTGCCCCCCTCCCCCCACGGGAACTATGCCTTTCTCAAAGAATATGTACACTAACACTTGAACCTGAACTCACACATGCACGTGTGCAATATGTGGTGTAATGCGTTTGGGGCCATAACATTAAATTACAACAGGATTGTACGGTTATGATATGAATGCATTATAAGTTAGTTATGATATAGTACACTATTGGATGATAGTCATTTTTTGTGTGTGTTTTGGACTGAGATAAAACATGGGTCAAAATTGAACCGCAAACCCCATGAACGGTAACAGCTTTTGAACACAACATAAAAAAAAACTTTAAAAAATAAATAAAATGCTTTTAAATAACTTATAGCCTACAGTGTGTTGGGTAGTTACGTAAAGACAGTCAGTTTTGTTAGTATCATTAAATATCAAGACATATTTGGCTTATGGTTGCATAGTTAAATAGAATGATATTTGACCATCCACCAGGGCAAGATATTTGTCTTTGTATGACGAATAAAACAATACTCACAGCGACATTAATCGAAATAATAAAAGTGACAAACATTACTGATCCTCAACAGTGTAGATTAGAACTATGGTGCAAAAGTAAATAACACTAAATAAATATCTCAGAGCATTTATATATTTGTATGCGGTTGTCCTTATTCTAATTGGTACAAATGAGCCTTAGTTCTTTGAGTTGAACATTGGAGCAGTTGACCCAGGACAGCATCACAGAGTGCCACCAGTAGGTGTCGTAGGTACATTGATAATAGCTCAAAGTGACACGGCTGGTTTACTCAAAGCAGCTGAAGGCCATGCTGTTTTAATGCATATTTTATGGATCTAAGTGCTGTTACATTCAAAAGCTGTAACTTCTATGCACTTGACGTTTTCATTGAACCCCCCAGCAGCATGATCTAGATCAGTAGCTTTTGTTTCCATCTCCTATAAACCTGTCAGTCACTCACAGATCTTGAACCAGGGTCAAAAATCACTCAGCGTCTGCAGGCATTGTGGTGATGTAAATATATTATCTTTTAATTTAAACACAACATCTATTGCACGTCTGTCCGTCCTGGAGAGGGATCCTCCTCTGTTGATCTCCCTGAGGTTTCTTACATGTTCCTTCCTTGTCTGATGTGAGGGTCCAAGGACAGCGGGTGTCGTATTCATATTCTGCACAAACTGTAAAGTCCACTGAGACTAATTTAAAATGTGTGATATTGGGCTTTTTTACTCATGCATCATTTAATAAATGTTTTGTATAATTTAGTTTCATTAACAAAAGAAGCAATACAAACTGGGAGAAATGTTGAGAAAGCGACCTTTTTGCTAAAATAATCAAATTATTAAAATCAATTTCTAATCTAAACAGTCTTCCTTGTGGGTTTACGATGACGTCATGACGCACGACGTCAACAAAGGGGACGACGCAGCCGTATCGTGAAAAGGGGAGGGCCCTCAGCGTTCAGTGTTTTTATTTATTTCTTTGTTTCATGTGTGCATAAAACAACAACAATGGTGGATAATTGAATAAGTGGAGATTCACGAGGATGAGCGAATGACATTTCCACTTCCAGTTTACCACACCGATAGAGAATCAACAGGGGGAGGATGAAGCGGCGCAATGCGGACTGCAGCAAACTCCGACGGCCAGTAAAACGGAACCGAATCACCGAGGGTATTTATAGCAGGTACAAAAAAAGGGGCTGGAGGGACCTTATTGTGTAACAATGGTGCCTCTGTGCATATGTAAAGACGGGGCTATGCTACATGCAGATTGAAGGACCAGGGGTCTGTTGGAGCTGCACACCGAGCTAAAGGGGACATGCAGCCGCTTATTGTTAGAATTACAGGCCTTGTGTGCTATTTCGTACATGATGTGTCTCTGGTGTGCTGGTTAAATTCAAACGCAAGGTGGACGTAGGGTTTAAAGAATGCATTGTGTCAAATTCTGCTCAATGGAAATACGTGCAGCTAAATAAAGATAGCATGCACTTGTGATACAAAAAAACAACTTGAGATGACAGCAGCTCTCACATGGGCTTTGTCTGGCAGATGTGAACACGTCAAGGCATTATTAACCACCAAAATAATGACGTCTAACTGGAATATGCACATGTAATTTAAGGTACATGTTGCATTAAAATAGCATGTGTCTTTTTCTATGGATTGATTGATGGCAAGCCAGAGATAGAAACCAGCTGTGCTCTCAGCAACATGTCCAGACATGACACTGTACTCTATCCATGCATCTCTACCCTTGTCTTTTTGACTTGTTAAGCTCTATTTACCAGTCTTGTTCACTGTTGCTCTGTTGAAACTACATTACTTGCTTTTAATCTAGTAGGAACTTGAGGAAACACTATCTGCAATCACCCTTGTAGATATTATAAACATAACGCTGTTGTATAAACCTGATGATACAATCTAAATCCACAGTAAATCCTGTTTAGTCTCCCCCTCTTCATCCTCTCTCTTGTGTCCTTGGTTTCAACATTTTCCTCCATCTTTCCTTGTCTTCTGTCCACAGTACGTTCCTGTACCTGAAGTTCCTGGTGGTGTGGGTGTTAGTTCTGCTGGCTGACTTTGTGCTGGAGTTCAGGTTTGAGTACCTGTGGCCTTTCTGGCTTTTTATCCGAAGTGTCTACGACTCCTTCAGATATCAGGGACTGGTAAGAGCTTGTTTATGTGACCCTGACCCCCTTCTATAAGTGACATTAACCTGCATGTTATTATCCAAGCTGGAGGTAGAATGGTGCACATTTAGCTAGATAGAAAACAGAGGTTGAATACTATGCACCTTTTGAAATGATCTTGTTTCTTTCTCCCACACCTAGGCGTTCTCTGTTTTCTTTGTATGTGTGGCGTTTACGTCAGACATCATCTGCCTCCTCTTCATCCCCGTCCAATGGCTGTTTTTCGCTGCCAGCACCTACGTATGGGTCCAGTATGTCTGGCACACAGGTGAGTCTTACATTTTCTGTGGGCTCTTGAGACCTCTGCCAGCCAAACGGCCACGTTCACCTCACATGAACCTCGCAGCTGCCAAATGTCTTGAGACTGAAGTGACTCTGGTTTCTTACTTTTCTGCAGAAAGAGGAGTCTGTCTACCCACGGTATCGCTGTGGATCCTGTTTGTGTACATTGAAGCTGCCATTCGCTTCAAAGATCTGAAGAACTTCCACGTAGACCTGTGTCGACCCTTTGCTGCTCACTGGTAAACCTCATATTAGAGTTGGTTGTCAAATTCCTATATTTTTTTTTTATAATGCCCATGATAAATATAAGGGTTATTGTAGGTATGCATATGAAGGCCATTGTAGGTTAAAAATTATTAATGCGTGGCAGGGGAATCATGTATTTTTTTTCAAAGACATTTTGGGCTTTAAAGCAATAAAAACTACAAATGGTGTTGAAAAAAATTATGCATATTGTGATACAATAGCAGATGCTTCAATATGTAATGCCTACACATATAACAACGTGCTTATATTAATATTCATCTTTGTATTTCTCCTCACCTCCCAGTATCGGCTATCCAGTGGTGACGCTGGGCTTCGGCTTCAAAAGCTACGTCAGCTACAAGATGCGACTGAGGAAACAGAAGGAGGTGCAGAAAGAGAACGAGTTCTACATGCAGCTCCTCCTGCAGGCTCTACCACCAGAGCAACAGATGCTCCAGAGACAGGAGAGGGAGGCAGAGGAGGGTGAGAGAGACACACACACACACACACACACACACACACACACACACACACACACACACACACACACACACACACACACGTGCGCGCACACATACACACAAATACCATGTATACATCACTTCAGGGGACATTACATTGACTTACATGCATTTCCTGGAGACTTACCCTAACCTTAACCAACACATGTTTTTTACATGTTTTTTCGATAAATCAGGTCTCTTTATAGATGAGATTCTGACGGACCTCTTCCATTCAAATCAGACCTAAATACACAAACAACAAGCACTTCGTGTTCGTCTTGGTTTGGTGGCATAATGCACGGTTGTCTATTGGGGAAACGAGGTATACGATACTCTAAATGAAGACTGTCGAGTGTTGTAGGTACCCGGTAAAGATGACAGACATAACACTACTTCCACCACCACACACACACCACACCACCACACACACCACACACACACACCACACACCACACACACACAACACACACACACACACCACACACCACACACACACACACACACCACACAACACACACACAACAAACACACACACACACACACACACACACACCACCACAGCACACACACACACAAGAATCGTAATGATATGAACACCCCTGGATTTAGTCAAAATGTCAGTGCACACCCCTGAGCGGGAGGGGAATACCCGTATTACCTCCAGGGGCTATTCCCTTAGTAATTAAAATCCCACTTCTGAACANGCACGCTCACTGCTTGATAGCGCTCGAAGGTCAGTTTACGCTGGTTGTTAAACAACATCGTTATGGGGAAATGCAAGTCTGCGTCCAAATGGTTGGAAGATAAGGAGGAAGGACAATCAATACTGTATATAGTGAATGTGAGGTAAAGTGTGTCGCCAAGGTAACCGGTTAAAACTCCAAGTGGCGATGAGGTCTTAAAATGTATGGAAAGGGTCTTAAAAGGTCTTACATTTGACTTCAGGATTCCTGCATATACCCTGATAGTGTATTAAGCGCAGTACATTCACAACAGTGTAGTTGTATATAAAGAGATTTAGTATTCGTTATGGAGGCATCAGTGCGGGATGAACAAAGTGAAAGCAGATGAGATGCGGATCAGATTTATTGATTTCCTCACTGATGGATGCACACACGCTTAGAAGTGAGGAGATCTTTCGCTTCTTTCATACTGTACCTTTTTCGCAGCAAAGCGTCCTGACACCATGCTGCTTTATTCCCTAAAGAGCTCTCACAAAGGAACACCTGAATACCTTGAATAAGTCCACTTCTTTTTTGTCTCGAAAAGCAATTCCCCAGAAACAGGAGATATGAAATTGTAATTCTGTAGCAGACAAATGGTATGTGGCGCTGCTCTGAATTATAAATGAAAGCAGAAGGGCCTTAGTTCTGCCTTCTTGCCCGAGCGTGATTAGGACCGTCTGGCGTGAGTCGCACACTGTCGCATAACAGGTGGAGACACACACACACACACACAATCTGTGAGACACACATATTCCATCCTTTGCTCATGTGTCACTGAGGTCTGCTGACAGATTACTTCTGGTAGTCCCAAAATTAAGGTTGAAGCAGCGAGGAGAGCCTTTGCCCCTCCAGGTTAGAGTTGCTCTAACTCTGCCTGTTTTTAAATCTGGTTTAAAAACCCACTTCTTTTCCCTTTCATTTACAGACCAGGTGACATTGTGCTGTTAAATGTGGGTTTATATCTTCCTAGTGTTTTGTATTGTTTGTACGTCATGTAGGAGAGAGTCTCAGTCTGGCTTCTGATCTGGTTTCATTGTCTCGTGTTTCACATTTGTTCACGTCCTGTCTGTTTTTTATGTACGTATACTATGTTTTTATACAGTTGTTGATGTACGGCACTTTGTTCCACGCTGTTGTTTTTAAATGTGCTATAGAAATAAAGTGGATTGGATGTGTCCTCTTCTTATAAATCAGACCTTATTCAAGATGTGATCAAACTATACTGCTTGCAGAAGACTCAACCTTAAAGGTGGGGTAGGTCATTTTGGAGAAACCAGCTGGAGTGCGCTGGAATTTGAAAATACACAGCAGGAAATAATCTGCCACTTCCTTACAGAGCCCCTCCTCCAACACACACAAACGCGCGCATGACCAATGAGGGCACGAGATAAGTTTGTGCACAGATGGAAGGCTGACAGGCAGGTAGGCCATCCAGTTATTTTAGCCGGGCCGGCTAAAATGATTGGTCGTGCTTTTTACAGTACTACGGCTTCCACAGACTAAATTATTTTATGTATTTATTGTCAAAGCATTTAATATATTCATTGCTATCGGGATGTTAAGAGCATTCCATGGAAAATAACAAAAAGTGTTTTTGAAATAAATTACATACCCCACCTTTAAGTGTGTTATCTGTAATAATAATTGACTTTTTATAGTCCTATGAAAACTTTATAGAAAATAATATTGTATCTGATTAGTTCAAAAGGCACATCCCTTCAGACATGAGAAAGGAGCCGTGTGCGGGATGACTTGACAACAGACCGCGCTCTTTGTTGGTGTCCACATGTTGTAGCTGATGTCATGTGACATGATGTCAGAGGATGCTGATGTTACGCCCTGCTGCAGCACAAAGCAGGTTATTATCAGGCAAAGTGTGTCTGTCATCCCTTTAGGAGACGGGCCTGTTGCCCGGTCAATCACTGCTCTGGAGATTTGGTGTCAGTATATCCCGCCTTTGCCAGTCAGTGCTGCTTACGAATTGAAAGTCACATGTTCTACATATTTGTTTCCATTACAAGTAGAGTCTGGACAAACCCTTTTCCTCAGGGAGAAGGTCTGCCTGCGTGTCGGACTCGCTTTTGTGAACTATGTCAACAGTGACGAATGAACTAATGTCATCCCTGGATTATAACTGAGAAAAAGGCTTTTGTCTTTTGCTCAAATACAGGTCCAAATACATACTGAGTTGCAGAGATCTTTAAGAAACCACAAAGTTACCTAGCCCAACAGCTCTGAATTTCTTATTCAAATTGACAAAATAAAGCTTAGATCACTTTGGTTGTGCTGTATTAAGTTTCAAGAGCATTACAACATGGGCCAAGCACGTGATTGCATGAGACCAGTAGTTAGGGTTGAAAACATATCATCCTTTATCCGTCTGTATAGCACATGAGGTCATGCCAACACGCACCGCTATGCCCAAAACCAACTAGAGCGTTGGCTGAACAAACAGCTGGCTCACTCAGATGCCAGATATTAGGTAGCCTACATGTTAGTCAGTGGAGCCACAAAACAACAAGCAGCACTGTCACTGGTATTACGATTATACACAGAAAACACATGCTACCTGCAAAACACAAACATAAATCCCACATAAACAATCAACAAATTTGACCTACTTTTTCCAATATGTAAAAAACTGATGCTTTGATTTACTTCAGACCTCTAGGGGACATTGGTGGAATTTATCTAGTGAGGCATCATTCATATAATAGATGCCAGGAAGCCTATAGGTTACTTACGTAACCCCAGTTCTCAGAGTAACATGAAGAGAGATGTCTCACTATGGGATGCGCCTCATCGCGGAGCAAACAGAAGCATTCGAGCCCGAACGTCACCGGCCCGTCGCTACCGGAAACCGGAGGGGGTCCGCTGTCCGTGTTTGGTCGAAAGCCCGGTACAAAGCGCACGCTTGGACGTACCGGCACCTGGACGGTCCGGCACCTGGACGTTCCGGGCACCACGTTTGCAAACCGAACGGAAGGTCCATCTGAAGAGTACGGGCTCTACGGTTCGCTCTGGAAAGAACAGGGCGAATGCTCCCTTTTTTTACACCGGGGTCCGTTGCTCCTCTTTCTACGGTTGAGAAACGGCCAAAAGGGCTCACCGACCCTACTCAACAGGCGGCAAAGAAGGACCTCTCTGCCGGGAAAATGTCGATTGTTCCGGGGTAGGTCCCCAACGGAGGAGGGACCTGAACAACTGTCATACCTCCCCCGAGCCGGAAACTGGAGGTGTATGCGGTTACCTTGCGACCAACCGTCGAAGTGGAAGGAGGGCTCCTACTGCCAGACGTGCTCGCGCGTTTGGGGGGCGGAATGCCCACTTTCCCCTGGCTGAACGTCAGGTGCCGAACCCTGCTCGGATGTTTCAGCGTTGCTAACAGCGGTCCGCGGGAAGTTGTAGAGGAGCGACGAATTGACGGAATGGTCCCGGTCACGAAGTTTCGCCCTAAGAACTCGCTCGGCCTTAGACCCGGTCGGAATACCCTGCTCTAGCCATGTTTGCCGACGCGCCAGGTCGCAGGTGCGCCGTTCTAGTACCCTACTACCAACCACGTCACGTCTCTCGGTCCACCGAGCTGGACTGGTTTGGAAAAAGGGTCTGGGCCCTTCTTCCTACACTACCCTGTACGGATATTCAAGGGCTCCGTAAAAGCCGAGACGAGACCAAGAGTTGAATTGTCGTCTCTGCCCCTAAGCGTTTCCCTCCCTCTTCGCTCCGGGAAGGTGGAAGACAGAAGGAGCCTCGCCCAGGTAGGCGGTATGATGTTGTCCAGAGGTGCCGTCGGGGGCGCCGGGCTTTACCGGTGGAGTGGGACGAGCCGATAACTATGGCTCCCGTCGGAACTCCGTCGTCGGTGCGGGCTCAGGGGTCGGGTCGCGTCCCCTCTGCCCCTACTCTACCGGCTCGGTCTAGCAGTCAAGGGGTCGTCGGTCGGTGCGTCCGCGTTGGCTGGGCTAGGAGCGGTTTGGAACTGCCCTTCCTTTCGTCGCGTCGTTGGACTTGCCGGAGGAGAAGAGGGGAGACGACTGGCCTCGACGCATAAGAAAAGGTCGAGGTTCTACACTAAGGACGGAGTCTTCTCTACGGAGTTGCGGGTAGGAAAGTTCAACCGGGTTGTTTTAGATGGTTGTACAGACAATTTATAACAAACAATAAAAAGACCTGGATAACAAAGGAAACTCCTCGTCGATCCGTAGAGAGTTTTTTCCCCCTGTAATTTTCTTGCCCAGAACCACTTCCGTGGAAAGCTGTTGCGCGTACGCATCACCGCTATCTCAAATTTTCGGCGGAAGCAATGCACGTTCGTGCGTCACCTGCTGACCCCGACCACCGTCGGAGGTGACAGTGCACGTTACGTCAACAGTTCGACTCCAGACTTCGGTGGTGATAGTGTCACGTCGCGCCCCGCCGACCGACGGAACACTTCGGAGGAAAGTGCACGTTTTTTTGCGGTCAACCGCCGGAACAATGACACTTTCGTAAGAGGTGAGTAAGTGCCACGTTTGCGATCACTTGCCGGGCTCCAACAATTTTTTGTGGTGTGGGTGTTGGGTACCGCCGCACAGCGCACTGCGCCTAACAGCCTTAAAATTTCCAATTGATGGCACGAGTCTGGATTCCTGGGGTTATTTGCCTGTTTTAACTCTTGAGAACGTCCACCCCTCTGTACGAGAGAACGACGTGAGATTTCCTTAGTCGTCCTTCTACAAGTTTTGTTTTACCATTACGGCCCCTAAAAGAGCTCTGTCATTGTAACTCCGATGCCGAGGCCTGGGCTACAGTTGGGGGGGGAGGAGGGGGCGGAAAGAGCCTGTTAAAGACATGAGTGTCCGGCCTCTATCAAGTTGGGCAAAAGACCTCTCTCCCTGCTAAGAGAGTGGATATTTTTGTTCCGATATAGACACTATGGGCAGCTTGTTTCAGTTCTCCGCCGAAGTAAAAAAGGTTCAAAAGGGGACAAAAAGTTTGCTTCTCCCTTTGCGCTTGAATCGGTTATTAAACCCTACAACTCGAGGTCGTCTAAGAATTTTTTACTTAATGCCGAAATTTACGGAGTTGAAGTGTTGGTAGAAATTATACAGAGCACGCTGTTTCCTTCCCTGCGAACCGGAGGTGAAAGTCCAGTTTGGAACCCTCTACGTACAAATGGTGTTGAGTCGTAAAATAATGGGTTTGTGTCCGCTAAATAGACGACTGAAAATTGTAGAAAGTCCTACTAGGAATGTTCACGCGCCTCGACGAAAGAAGAGCAGAAACAAGAGTCAGTCCCTCCCAAACATGCTAACAAATGCCTTCGCGCGGCTATTGAGGCAATTCGTGTTTTTGTCCCATAAGCGGACCCGTTTGGAGGAACCATGCTGAACGCGACCGAAGAGCGTTCAGTTTTTTGTCCCGCAATAATTGTGCTGTTTACAGGGGCAATTATGGTGGACAAGCTGGACTCCAAAGTAGTAATTTGTGGCTTCCCCGGGTACAACAAAAAGGGTCGGGTCTGACATTGAAGGGGCTTTCCGTCAAAGTCGGTGACGTCGAACGGGAGTCTGCAACTTGGGGCGGCGCAAGTTCCCGCGCGCCCTCATCACCCAAGTGATACCTCCTACGAATTTTACCCGGTGACGCGGCGGCCGAACGGTGAGCTGAAATTTGATCAATGCGCCCGTAACGAATACCCGAAAACGACAGAAATAGCGTTCTCCTTAAGAAGGTGCCTGCGTACAGACTTAACCCGACCTCCGCATAAATGTTTTCAGCTGGACCCTACCCAAAAAGACCTTTTGGTCTTGGAGGTTGCCCAGCGTGCCGAAATTTAATGGCCTCTCAAATCGGCCACAAGGGGTGGAGATTTGCGACATACAAGACAGAGAGCTCCTGTGGTAACGGGAGCAACCAACTCCTACCTAATTATGCTGTTATTTTAGCATACAATTTGGTAAATCCTCCAAAACCGAAGAGGGGCATGTAAAACGACCGGTGCGTTTGAACTAAGAACACCACGGCCGGCCGGCAGTTGGAGGAAAGAAGGAGCTCTCACTCTGTACCGTTGGTCAACACTTGCTTGGAGCCCCTGTTCGGGACGGACGGGTCTCCGTAAAAAAGTTGGTATACCGTCTGACGCTGAAGTTGTAAAGTTTACCAACAAACTCAGTCGAACACCCACCACAGCGCCCGACTCGGCGCTATCTAGACCAGCGGTAAAATTTTTTTCCTAAATAACGAAGTAATAAGTTCGAAAGAAAGTTACGCGCGCAGAATATGCGGGCAACCCGCATCCGCATGAAAGCGCGTGCAAACTTGGAGGCCAAGGGAGCGCGCCGTAAAGGGTGGGGGACCGGAGACTTTCTTGGGAGAACGACTGGTGCCTCACCTCGTGTCGTTGGTGCGAACTAGGACTATCAAGGCGTGACTTTGGACAATTAACAATGACCGTCCGCCCCTAAATTAAGTCACCGACAACGCCAGTTTTCGGTACTGTTTCGGGGGGGGGGACTTATGTCACTCAGGAGGAACTCCCCGCTACCCGGTGAACGTCAAGAGTCGTCGTCGGTCGTCAAAGGAGGTACCGGGACAAGAGTCATCCGACTGACTTCCTTCACGCTCGTCTACGACTACCAGTTACAGAAAAGGGAATACTTCCCCGACGCGGAGACGAAGTCTTACACAAGGCACGGAGCTCACTACGAAGATAGCGTTAAGAGTGTCACGTGGATTATGTGACAGCATTTCATACAATTCCGTAAAAACCTGGTCCAAGTAACTCTCGTCACAGGAGTATTCCGCCTGAACTTGTTCACCAAAGCCTAGTGGCAAGCTGAGCGATGGCCCAGCTGCCTCAAAACTGCGCGAAGAGGCACTTGCGACAAGCTAACGCCCGAGACCTCAGTGACAGTTCGTTTACGTCACGGTCAGTGACCCGAGACTCGTGATGTGAGTCGCGCCACCGTTCCGACCAACCGTCACTGTGATAGTGCACGTTTTGCGTCACTCCGAACATGAGACTTCGTAGGAGTGGCCGGTTGCGTCACTGCCTCAAATTGTTGTGTAGCGGTCACGCCGCTCTAACAGTAATCTCCACGATTCACGAGTCTGTGATTTCCAAGGTTAGTCGATGGATTAACTATGAGGACTCCCACCCTGTACAGAACGACTGAATTCTCAGCGTCTCTCATTTATGCGACGGCTCCTGTAAAGAGCTGCTTCAGTGTACTCCGATGCGCGGCGACACAGGGGTGCCCCTTGTCGTCAACTTAAACGATATAAGATCGGGCACGAATACGTGAATACTACACGTGCTAGTATCCTCCTCAAAACCAACAGTATTACTGGTTTTTGAAAAAACACAAGGACCCGATTGGGAATGTCCCTATTCCGGCAATGATCCGCTGCCAAGAGGGTTGGCTTACCACTTCTGTAACGAAACCGGATATGCTAAGCCTTTAACGCCCGTGGAAGCCCAAACGCACGAAGAAAATCCTGAGGCCCAGACCGATGGTGGGACCCCGACAAACGGAGTTTCCACAAAAGGTAGGTTCTGGAAAACACGTCGCTGCCCGACCAGGAGCGGCGAGTGAAAACAAGGCGGGAAAAATGTCCCGATCTGCAGAAAAGACGGAGGGTCCACACCGGGCTCCGTCACGAACCCGCGGGGCCGAGCGACTCAGTCTCGAGATTGGACAATCCAAAAGACCAACCAAACCACCTAAAAGCTCTATTCGAAGCAGAAACCCGGTTTATGCCGCCTCAAAATGCGTAAAGGGTATCACTCTGGTAGCTTGACCTCAACAATACTTACTCTTGATATCCAATGAATGCATTGATGTCAAGAGTCTCATTGTACTCACCTACAAGAGTGGTCTGCCCGGAGGAACGATACCGCACTTTTGGTTCTTCTCTCCACGAATAAAAACTTACTGCGTACGCAGCACCTGAGGCACCGCGTTCGATGAATATTCCCCACCTAAAGGGACCGCTTACTGCCAGCTCTAGTGGGCGGGTTAGTCTTACCGGCAT